GTTTCCCCCCGCAGTGCCACCCCCTCGTGGTCGGAGTCCCCCCACACGCTGGGCGACCATGTCTGCGAGCGCCTCTTGGGACACGCTGAAGTCCCTCTCTCTCTCTCTCTCTCTTTTCTTTCGCCAGGGTTATGGACTAGGAGAAGCTCCCCTCTTGCTTGCTTGCTTGCTTGCTTGCTCGGGGTATGGGTCCCCTAAGGAACCCCAGCCCGAAGGCCAACCCCCTTTGGCGAGCGTCTGTGCGTTTGCGCGGCCCCTTTCCGGGTGAGGGTGTGTCGCATTCCTCCGGATGTGCCTCGAATCTCCGGACCCCCAAAAGTCCTCTTGCTTGCTTGCTTGCGCAACGTTTGGAGCGGGGTCCTAGAACCCTCGCCCCTGCGCTCTCGCGCTACGCCGATGTCCGAAAAACTCCTCCCTCTCTCTCTCTCTCTCACTCTCTCTCTCCCGGGCATGGGGACGGGTCAGCGTCCTCGGGCAAATTGCGCACCCGATGTTAATAATCAGGCATGGGGAGTAAGGTACGAAGATAGGCGATTCCAAAGCTAAAGCCTTAAAGAGTACGATAACGGAAAGGGAATCGTCGTATCTTCTCCAGTAAACACATGCAGTGCGAACATTGTGATGTTGAATCATTCTCAAGAGGAGGACAATAAACTAAACACTGTCAACATCACAGATTTCGTTCTCCTGAACGTCGAGGACATCTTGTCGAATTGGTTTTCGAAGGGTCTCGCATCCCCCGGGCTCTACATGATTACATGAACAAACCAAAGACACAGCGCTACATACTCCCCCTAAACGGTGTAACATGCGTATACCAAACATAGAGCCAGCTCAGGGTCATGCGGACGTGATCAGCCCTTCTCCTTTGTACTGACAAGTCTCAAGGAAATGGAGGTCAGCGATGTCGTGCCCTTGCTTTTGGATGCCCAGTTTATCGAAGCAACAACAACAAACCACCGACCTAAAAACACGAGACAAAAGGAGTAGGGTGTAGCGGGCATCCAACGGCACTTGGCAAGAGTCTTGGGGTGCGAGCAAAAGTCGTTCGTCGGTCTAATTTAGCTCTCCCCCTTTGACAAGTATTGAAAGTCAAACGTGCATGGAGCGAGTTTGGCCAGGCCGCGCGTGCGCGCACCCGCACGTCCTGGGGTGTCTGACTCTTCCCCATACAGGTTTTCTGCATCCTCCCTCCCTCGCTCTCTCTCTTTGCTTTGCTTTGCTTTGGGGATGGGGCATGGGCAGTCCCCACACCCCGCGCTCCAGGCGCTACCCCTATGTTGTTGGTTGGGGTGTCTGTACGTGGTCGGCTTGTGTGAAAACTTTGTAGGAGTGTGTGCCACCGTGGGGGCAAGTGGTTCAGGTTAAGGGCGGAAAGGTCTAAGCTGACACGAGAGATCACAAGCTAAACAGGCGGGTGCCCCGTGGCTTCAAACCCTTCACCTCTACTCGAGTGAATGCTCCAGCGAGCCCCAGCAGGTCAAACTACCACGAACAACACACAAACAGGACGTGTACCCCATGTAGCTCGGGTCGAAAAGGTGTCAGTGTCAGAGGGGAAAAACATGCTCAAATTAACGGCCCCGCAAGTCGTATGCTTGCAACTTTAAGGTTCAAGGATTGGATCGAGTGCGCCTCCTGACAAATTAAGTAGGGTCACAAACAAGGCTGAATGGACGGCTCACTTGTTGAAGACTGCGGCAGTGGGATGGTTCTCGGATCCCGGGTTCCCGGGGTGGTTGTTTGCACGTAGGGTGCGGGAAAGTGCACGTCAAAACTTGTAGCCTTTGGTACTCCGCCATTGGTTGGTCTCACCTCTCCATGGCTTGAGGCGCTTGCCCCGCTCCAAGCATAGTGCAGACTTATCGTTCTCAGTGTCGCTGCCCAAGTCACGACCGTCCGGATGGGGCACTCCCTCACCCAGCGTGCCCCGTGCGGAGAAAGACCGCGAAGGGGTAGTCGAGAAGTAGGCCCACCGATCTCGGCGAGGTAGCAGCTGTCACACTCCCTCTCACGCCCTCGGCTGCCGATCACTCCTGGTCCGAACCTGCCGAGGTCCCTCTCAAGAGCGGGGGGCTGGTACACGCAAAGTGCAGCAATCTGGTAGTAGAGGTCGTATGGCAAGGCGAGGAGGGTGCACGCTCTCTCCTCTCTGCGACGCCCGGCTTGCTCCCCTCGCTGCTCTCACGGGCTCGGGCCTCGAACCGCTCACGGCTTCTTGAGCCAAAATGGCTCTCTTTCTCTCTCCCTTCCTTCCTTCCTTCCGGGCGTTTGGGGGTGGCAGGCCCCCCCCTGCGCGCAAGCTCTTTCTCTCTCTCTCTCTCTCTCTCTCTCTCTCTTTGCTTTGCTTAGGGTAGGGCCACGAGCAGTCCTCGTAGTCCGCGCTGTCGCGCAACCCCATCCACCATATCTCTCTCTCTCTCTCTCTTTCTTTCGTTAGGGTTAGGGACTAGGGGGTTTCCCCTCTCTCTCTCTCTCTCTCTATTCCTCTTGCCACTTCGCATCTCCGGAATCAGCCAAGAACTCCATCAAACGCACCGGAGTAAAGGACTGTCGGCGACGGTCGAACAGAGAAGTCGCCATCTCATTGCTGGTCGGAGACCATGGCGCTCACTGGCTGTAAGATTCGCAGAGGCGCAATGGGCGGGGCTGACTTCGCCTCCAGCTTTCGGGGAGCTTGGCCGCATCTTCACATCTCTGACATGGGAGCTCTCCAGCCCACTCCTCCTGGAAGACAGGGTCCACGGACATGTGGGTGTTTCCTCTGCGGGCTTTGGAGAGAGACAGGGCTCTCGCGGGTCAGTAAAAGGCAGCCAGTCCCGAGCCAGTACGAACAAGCCGAATGAAGCCAGCAAAAACACGTCACCAGACAGCATCAGATCGATGTATCACCATCTGTGTGGTTCTTATTAATGCTTTTGTCAGGGGGCCGTGTGTGAATGCGCGCATTGGCGCCGATTCCAAGAAAAAAAGGGTACATGGGAGCACGTTTCAAATCGAATTTAACAGCAGCACAAACTAACGACAAAAGCTCATCACCAGTGTGCTGCCATTTGGGGGAGCAGCATTTGCACCCACAGCTGAGCGATTCCTACAAGCGCGGGATGGCTGCAGCTGGCAGTGCACCATTGGCCTTGCGATTCTTGTGGACGCTAAGACAATGCCTTGGCAAGGCCGAGAAGAAAAACGCGTGCACCCGGAGCAAAATTGTCCCATGCCTGCCGGCCTAATGGTTTGACAGCTTTCTGTTACTCTACTCTCACTCCAAGCATTCGGCATTCAACAGAAGCTGAACCTGAAACATCTGCATAAAACACCACAATCCCCTGGGGCATCTGCAACCCCAGAAATCGCACCAGAAGTGTGCCCTGGTTCTGCGTGATGTGGTCCTTGGTGTCGGGGTATGAAACTGAGAACTGAGATGCTACGCCACGCCGTGTTTGGCGTCAAAGCCTACTTCCGAAAGGCCACACATCCGAAGAATCGGCTTATTTTGCTGCGTGGGAAATGAGAGGCTGCAACTTTTCAGACCGTTTCGTTGCAATTCAAACCCGAGCGCTGCCTGTTAGGTGGAGTCTGTCTCGGTGCACAAGTTAGCTTTGTATTTTGGGGCCGAGCCGCGTAATACTTCTTCAGCATTTTCTTGAGCAACATCTGCTCCTGGCAACTTCATGAATGTCAAAGGCTTTGGTCGGCGTCTACTCTTGCAAAAAGCGGCCTTGTGTGTGACAGTTTTCATCATGTATTTCCTCGGCTGCGTGGACGACACCCATTGCAGCTCTCGGAAACAGAACCGCTCTTTGCCATGGTGCCTACGGACAATCGAAATGCTCCGACCACCTTTTGACAAAAGTCTGAACTGCGGCAGCCAAGGCGCCCGTCCGATGTGTAGTAGAAAAAGGCGCCACCTTCGCAGCTTCGCAGCACTGCTAAGGCAAAGCTTCGGAAAATGCGTTGCTGCAGACGAGACTGTAAGATGATGACTCTTGCCCTCAGAGGACAGCTCCGACAGGGAGGACAAGTTGCCCAAGACCTTATGAAGATGGCTGGGCGACGGCTGTGTCACTTCCAAGCCATCCCGATGCGAGCTGAGGCCGAGAGCCATGTTGCCCAGCAGCTGCTCAGGCCCGACTGAGCGAAGATAGTCATCGCTGTGGATGCCAAAGCTGGCACGTATCCGCCTTACGGATAGAGTCTTCAGGTACGCAGATTTAGGCAACCCGAGTCGGTTGCATGGAAGTCCCGCCACATAAGGATCCCGCTGGAACACCATTGGGGCATAGTCTATGAATCGAGTCACTTTGACACGCCTGACGGTCGGCACCAGCACAGAAAATGACTGTGTGAGCGGACTCGCGATAAGTGACCGCACTTGAGCGGCTGGCTTAGAGACAGTGGCATCAAAGATGCTTGCCAACCGCGGGAGGATGCTGAATTTCTCCTTGCCGAAGGTCTGTGCACGCTGGAGGTGCGAACAATGACAAGCCACAGCGGACACGAAGCGGCAGCAGTCAGTAGCGCCGCGATTTTTTCATGCAGCGACACTTGAGGAGACTACAGGCAAGGTGCTGCGAGGAGCTGCTGGGGGTCATTTCTCTCTTTGGATATCTTTAGCTAAGTTACATGCACAGATAGTCAACATCAGCCAGTGAGTGATCCTCCTCGGATCAACTCAGCCGAACAAGCTGCACCTTGTTGATGGCAGATGACCGCCAATCTCGGAGAAGCTACGACAATGTGCGCTTGCTGTCCATCTCACGAGAGGCACCCCTCGCCCCTCACCTCCTGCCTCTTTATGCCTTGTCCTAAACGGTCCTAAACAGGCGTAAACAGGCGCCATCTGACAGCACAGCGCCATCACTTGCGTGGACAGAAGCTAAAGCAGCACAATCTAGGCACTGCCATGCACAAGCAGATACACTGACAGGCAGCACGGCCCCCGAAGCTAGAGGCAGCTGCCACAAAGGACACAACCCTCCACTCTGGCGACGGAATCACCTTTGGTCAGCAAGAGGTGGCTTCCATTTATCCAGGCAGATCGGTCGAACATGGCTCGTCACATCAAAGGCCTAACATCTGATACAGCTCTTTTGCAAGATACTGCTCGTGTGATGCTTGGCGTTTGGATGTTGCTGTTGGGCACGTGGAGCCTCAGAAGATCTTGTGAAAATCGTGCGGAGCGGGGAAAAGATCGACAGCTATCTTCCTCCCCGCAACTCTCAGGGCGGTCAAAGCCACCGCATGCAAGTCCCGGAAAGATCCTGCCAGTCTCAGTTGCGGAAACGGCAGGAAAGCCCTATCCAGAAATTTGGAATGTCGCGTCCTAGCCAGTCCAGGTCGGCCAAGCTCCAACAGGTCCAGCCGGCACCCCTTCAACCGGGCGTTCGTACGGACCTGTCCGGCAGGCTTGCACGGCATTGGCTATCCGAGTCGCATTCTGGCCTGGACCGCCTGGAGGAGGGGGCGGCACCTGAATTCTATGCTGTTGTTGACTGAATCGAATGCCCCAAAAACCCAGAAACTCAGCGACCAGGCATGAGCATGATAAAGTCCGGGTCCTAAGCCCATAGCCTGCAGGGGTGGCTTGCAAAGCAACGAGACTCTTCTCAACATGTGCTTACAAAGCATGTGTGGCCACGTGCTTACATGCTAGCTGTGTCGGCTGGTGCTATTCGCGCCAGGCTGCTGGATTGCTCCTTAGTTTGACATTTCCAACCGCTCGCTCGGCTTCTCTCGTAACCTAGACATTTGCAACTATTCTGGTTTCGCTTAGTCTCATTGCTACTTGCTGTGGCACGGTCGGGTTGAGCATGCCAGGCATCATGCTGTAGGACCTCGGAAAACGTGACAGTGTGCAGTTACACTCCGGGGTGACCAAGGTGTCGATTTGGACCCCTCAAGCCAGCCGCTCAGCTTCAAGCCCGTAAGGGACCGGGTTCACATGCATACTTCCCATGGCCTCAGCTTAGCAAGCTTCGTGCTCGTTTCAGAGCCCTGCCGATACTTTTAGCCAGCTGCAGGCGGAGCTGGTCCCACACTGTTCATCCTGCAGCGCAGCACAGCACAGCGAAGTGCAAGCTGCAAGAGGCCTGACGGAATCTGAACGGAAGCCAAGCTTCAAGTAGGGAGCTGGTGGAGCAACCTTCAGGGAAATAGCATTCCAAAAATTAGAATTACAATCTCTCACCACAGCCTCGCTCCAGCTTGCTTCCGGAACCCCTGCAGGCGTAGGGCTGATGCAAACCAGATCTTCTCAGCTGCACATGCCCGAAAGAACGGCACCTTGTAGAGGCTTGCCGCCCATCGGCCTCAGGATAAAGGACCCGACGCATTTTCAATTGACTGTTCTGAGTACAGGTCAGCCAGGGCACTTCATGTTTGCACTGGCACCAAGAAGTGGGGCAGTGCCGGCGGCACTTGCGATTGGTTGTCCTTGGAAGTCGACGAGCATGTATCCCAGTCGCATCACTGGATTTGACAAACATTCCCCCTGCTTTCATCGACGAACATCACCTTGACAAGCTGGTTGCCGATACCTCCTTCCATCCGAGTTGCGGCACGGGGCCTCCATAGGTCAGGGCACTTGCAAAGGTTGGCTGCTAAGACCGATGCAGCAGAAATCAGTCATCTAAAGAGGCATCGCAAACACCCCAGCATGCAACTTGTGTTTTCGACTGCTGTCTTCGACACCACTGCATCTTGACATGGACTGAAAATTAAATTGACCTAACTACATCCAAGACTATTGCAAGGAGATCCACATGCCTCCTTGCTCAGCAGATTTGACCATTGCATCCAAAACTAGCTGCGTTTGATATGTTTGTTCGGGCCATGTTTCGTCCACTTTGCCCGAGGCCACCAAGCCGGAGAACGTCTCCACAAGCTTCGCATGTTGAACACCGGTTTTCAGCTCTTCATCCTTCAAAGTCACGAGTGGGAACGTCTCGTCCTTCGCACCAAACGTGGTCTGCGTGACCTTGTAGCTCGCCGCATCCAGCTTTCCAGTGACAACAAAATCTTCGAGTGATAAGACGGCCTTTGAGCCGACAAACTCGGCACTGTTCCGGAAAGCAGACTTGAAGGAACACATGAAACTCCCTGTCTTGTTGCCGAAACGCATCTGTGCCATAAGATGGGTAGGGACCATTTCTTCTGTGTGCTCCACGTACGTGCACGACACACTGGTCGGGAGCGAGTACTGGAAGGCCCAGAGCGTCAGACGAACATTGTACCAGCCGAGGTCACCCAAACATCCAAGCGGCTCCAAAGATCTCTTCATGCGAATGTTGTCGGCGGCCCATGCCTCATCGTTGGCGCAGTCGATACTGAAAGTGGAGTCTACATGTCGCAAATCGCCAAACATGCCACCGTCGCTCAACACGCTTTTGATGGAGTCTTGCCGGGCATTGTGCAGAAACATTGTGTTGTCCATGAATTGCACTCCCGCCGCCTTGCACGCGTCGATCATCAACTTAACATCGGCTGCACTGGCAAGTGGCTTTTCCACTAGAACATGCTTCTTAGCAGCCGCTACTTTGAGCACGAGCTCGGTTTTGACACTTGTAGGCACAGGAATATAGACAGCCTCTATCGAAGCATCAGCCAGCAGTTCCTCATAACTGGCATAAGCCTTGGAACCAGGACAGTTCTCGGCGATGAAATCATCGGCCTTTCCTGCAGTTCTGGAGGCCACGGCAGCAATGACGGCGTTGTCTATGCGGCTGACAGAAGCACAAAACTTCCGTGCGATGCCAGCACAGCCGAGGATTCCCCACTGAACCACCATGTCGAAGCTTTTCCGGTCCCACTGCACTGCGGATGGAGGATCAAAAAACAATTT